GCTAGCATAGAGGCCACCTCGTAAAAATTACTACATTTTCATAAATTAACTAAACCGGCTATTTGATTTTTATTAAACACCGATCGCATCCTCAGGACAATTACATAAAGGATTGAATACTGTACAAAAATACAACATGGCTCGCTCTTAACTACAAAACATTATACTTGTGCATCAGTTAAACTAGACGTTTTTACAAATGGTACAAATCAATAATCGAATGGGTAAACCAACTGCTCTTGATACAACGGAATTCGCCGTAACCGTAGGCATTTATAAATTATTATAATTCACCTTTCTGTATTGGAGGCCAATATGGACACGCTTTGCATCTGTTTTCCAAGAGAAACCGGAAGAGGCTATTTAAGAATTTCGAATACACGAGTGGATAATGGATCACAAAAGAACAAATAGCTGAGCAATTGTTGAACAAGCTAAAAAAAAAAACGCATGTACTTTTGTTTTCAAGGACTAAAAAAAAATACTCGAAAAAATAACTAAAGGAAAACTGCCATCAAACGGTGAATGGAGTACAAGCATATTTGATTTGCAAATTAATTATTAACATTAAATAACCAAACGGGGGGTTTTGGTTTTGAAGTAAGATTTTTTGGACCATAAGCGCTAGTTGTAAGGCAGAAAGGGGCGCTTACAATACCCACCCTCCTTATAAAAAAAAATTCGAATTTTTTTTTTAAGTGCATTAGTTTGATTTTATTCCTCGATATAAAATAATATTTCAGGTGTACGCCCGCATATCCTCTTTTCAGTTGTCAAAGGCGATTCCCGCTCTTATTAATTACAATCAACTTTATTTTTAATTAATAATGTAAATTTGATATTTCGGCCAACAACGAAATCACATTTAAAACGGTTAGCGCGAACATCTACATGTTGAAGTGGCACTTTCAGCAAAGTTATAAAATATTGTATTTTAATTTCCACAGCACAAGCGATATTCAAGAATTTAATAAAAACGCTATTATTGGATATTTCAAATGTGCTGCCGTAAAGTATTTAATGAAAAATCACTCTTTGGCATTTCGTTTTCCGAATTGCATTATTATTATTATTAGTTTTTTTGTTCTTTGTCATAGTATTTTATTGCGATACAGGTTAGGTATTTAAATAATAACCTACTTAAATTCCAAATTAGAAACAAAACTAAACGAATGACTGAAAGTGTGTATTGTAAAATGCATAGATTATATTACATTATAATGTACACTATTATTTTTTTCTAATAGATTTAGTCATGTGATCCAGGAGTAGCATACAACCCAATATATGTACATTTTACTATAATGTGTTGCCTATACATAAGGCGCAACTAAGATATCTGTAATCGATATTTGTTTTATTTTACTCATGTGTATAAGAACATTTTTACCGGGTTTCTGTTGTGCGATTACTTTGAAGCTTCTATACAAATCGTAAAACACAATCAAAAATCAATACTGGTGTCGAAGGTACACATGTCTTCGTCGAATAAAGTCAACAGCTTCACTACAATGTAAATTTAATGTACAACCGAGTAAGTCTTCTCGGGGTTGCGATTTTTGATTGAAACTAATTTTTATTTTATTATAACAAAGAGAGAAATATTACTGAAAAATATAGCAAACGGTGTTGTTATTGCTTAGTAAATGCTAACCTAAATAACGGTTGTACAATACTAGAAAACACGAAGGGGAAAAATCACATTGAAATAATTCAGTTAATTTCAGAAAACTATCAGAAGTTGAGTAAAAAACACGTTCAAAATGAGTTTTTTTTCGCATTAGACATTTTCAGGTCAGTGAAGAAGGTGTTCATACTTCATACTATCAGCGTTGTACTTTGATTAGCTCATGTCATGAACGCATGTCCTCAGCTGTTAGTACACCGGCAATATTATTGTGTACATATTTTCCTTAAGGCTTCGATTTCATTAATCACGTACAAAGTAAATTTTGGCTATCATTTCCCATCGCGTTCTGGCCTCGAATATGACACAATGCTATCTTTTTTCCCTGTAGTGTTACCACGTACCTATTATTTCCCTAGTAGATAATATTATAACTATAACACATTTATGTTTTTTAATCGTATATGGTATGATGTCGGTGGCCTCAATGCAAAAGCATACGATAGAGCTTATAGCTTTCCACTATTGTAACCGAACACCTGTAACTAGGTACCTTTATCCACAATTTCATGACCGTTCGTTTGACCTCGTCAATAAAGTAAAACGCAAATCTTTTCAATGTAGGTATCTTAGTTGGCGGTTCGTTATACACAAAGTACCCTTTATATATAATATAATATAATATAGTAAAACGTTACCAACATATGGAATATGCTGTGAAAAACGTGGCAATGACAGCACTCCATAGCGTTTTATTCCAAAGTGTCTCAGTTTAAAATACAATATTCATCGCCATATATTATGTGTTAAATCGACCTTTTAGGAATGAACACCGTGTGAAGTTATAAGGACCTAGAGCAGCGGTTCCCAACCTTTTTGAGACTATTACCCATAAATCAGGTTAGGTATCAACAAATACCACTGCCTCCCAAAAAAAAGTTTATAAAATATTATTCGAAGGTAATAAAATTATCCGTGTTATTAGGACATAATATAAGCTAATACACATGTATACATGACTGATGCAGAGTTAATAATAATAGATATAAAGTATATGAAATAAAAAATAATAGTTTAGTCTTAACCCCTAAAAAAATCGTGTTTTACCCCTTGGGGGGTAATTACCCCCGGGTTGGGAACCGCTGACCTAGAGTTATAAGGACGTTATTAAGGATGAAGAGCCGTGAATTGAACATACTGCTTAGAGGTTGAAAAATAACAGCTATACATACTATAGTGACTATAGTATAGTCTATAACTGTACAAAGATAAAGTGCCTTTTACAGATTACCAACAAAGCCCTGCGATTGATACATACATTGTACTACTGTGTAAAGCCACGACAAGCACAGCTGATAGACGACAATATTATTATAATGCATACACAATCACGGTCTATGTCTGTTTACGATTAAGTCGGTTTGAAGATTATTTTTCTGATATACATTACTGGCATAAAAAAATAAACAATTACTTTCAAATATGTTGTATATAACTGTAAAAATAAATAAAAATTATTGAAATTCATATCTTCTAGACAAATATTTTCCATGGGATTTGGAAAACGTTTAATGTGACATAAACGATATCACCAAGTTAAATTGACTGGTATGTAAAATTCAACAAACGTTTTAGTCCTAACAACTTTGTCGAGTAATTTATTTATTATTAACAAAAATAAATTCTAATGCGTATTAGGCAATCTAAAACACGTTGACCGTTGATTGTTTTCAGTGATATCGTTGGGATATGGCAACAAACAACGACAAAAATGTATTTAACCAAGGTGATTGTTGACATTCTGATGACGTGGCCACATTAAAGATAAAACTATATTATCGCCAGTTCCGTTTTTTTTTCACAGTTCAATTGTCTAGCGTTATCAATCCATTTTTCTAAAACTATTTTTTATGTTTAAAAAAGTCACAGCGAAACATTGTTTTAACTTAGATATAAAGACTGAAGTTATCAATAGTATAAATTATAAAATATGTTTTATTATTTTGTCAATATAACTACATAGAACCGCTGGACCGATTTACTCGTGCAGCGTCTTGGGCAAGTAAAAGTTGTTCTTTCCTACACTTTTAAGAAATTATAAAACCACCCGAACTTCTTTCCCGAGCGTTTGATTTAATAATAAAAACAATAAGGTGTGTGTTTATTTTTTGCATACAAATTTGCTACCATCCCCTGAAACAATGCTTGTGTCGAGGTTACAACTAAACTTTTATTTAGGTATTTTGTATTTAAATAAGAAATAATTATTTGGAAATAATGAGTTTTATTATTGTTTTTAAAATGAACGGTGCTATGTACAAGAACGGCGACCGATTTTAAGTGAGATTCCCGCCGTCAACAGAGGTACCCTCATCATAGTTTATAGACGGGCGGATGGTAAACTAAGACGAGGGTACCTCTGTTGACGGCGGGAATCCCGCAAAAATCTGTGGCCGTTCTTGTATATAGCACCGCTAGTTTATTATTTATCACTTATATTAGACAAGATTAAATAGAAAAAATATTTAAATAATTTTATTTTTGTAATTAATCCATCCATAAAAAAAAATGCATTTGAAATTATTTTCTCGTTGACTTTTTATGTACCTTTTTTATTTTTTATGATATTTGAATTTATTTTAAAAAAAATAATTTAAATAATACCCGGGCCTGCTTCTAATATTGACTAGCGAAAAATGGTCAAGCTGAGACGAAGTTTGTGTGGAAAACCTTCCAGCCCTCTACAAGGGGCAAAAAGTGGTCAGACTGGAGCTACAATTTTAATAATTTGTTACGGGAATATTTTTATCAATTGCTCCTTGTAGTTTTAGAGTTAAACCGCTACACTTGACACCGTTATAAAAACGTTTTGACTACCGTGCGTGTATTCAAAACAATATTTTGTATGGAAACAAATTGGATTTTCAAGAATATCGCTCATTTGTACTCAAGAGTACTTCCAACTATATGTACATTGGGCAGCGCTAGTCTTGCTATTTAATGCCGGGAACTTGTCATTCCCGGTGTTATTAGGAGGGTAGTTAATATATGTTATAATTATACATAAAAACAGAACGAATATCATATTACCAATAATATAAAATTGTAAGTATTTTATGCTCTACTACGGCGGACTACTAACAACAACACAATAATTATACCGGGCGCAGGTATAACACATAATATGTGTATTTTGGGGGAGGGGGGTCTGGGGAAAGGGTAACACTATAATGAATAGTATTATACAGGAAGAGCTGCCGCTTTCCCCCTCTATGAAACTCATCGGGCGGTCACCCTTCTTACTTCAAACGGACACCCATCAGCGGTGCAGTCCGCCTACCCGGTGAGCCGTATCGTGTATATACGTGTGTGCGAGAAAGACCGTTGACGAACAGCTGCAGTCGCTGTTTACTATTTTGTACGGTTTTTTTTTTTTTGTATTTTTTAAACGCACTCGCTGCTCTCTCGGGTCCGGCGTGTAACGTGCGTTTCGGCTGTTCGGTTTTTCCGTTGAGTTTTTTTTTTTAAAGTGTATTTTTCAGTTTGGATGGTACACGCGAAACGCCGCACTCGGGGACAAGGGAAAATATAAAATAATACACGTCTTGGACTACCGCGCATATGCGCTGTGCAGTGTATCCCGCCAGAGGTAAGTAACGACATTTGATTTGAATTTAGCCGTTTTGCTTTAAAATTTTAAATTTGTACCGGCTGGTCGAAATGGACCGATACGTCGATTGCGGTAAAAACTAATCGTCGTTAAAAAAAAAAAAAAATATATATATATATATAGTTTTATATTATAAAATAGGGGTGGGACTGCACAAATTTAGAATTATCACAAAAACGGTTATTTTAGCCGTAAAAAGTATTTTTCTTAATAATTTATAGGCATGTATTTAAATTAAAAACATTGTCTAAAAAAGTTATTGATATGATATAATGTACTTAAGTTTAGCTGCGATACGTTAGAAAGGAAACACGTACATAATGCATTATTTTATCAATCGATAATTCGTTAATAACTCATAGACCACAATTAACTTGCGAGTATAATAGCTTTTTGATTGTTTCATTGAAGTTCCCCTAGTAGAGTTGATTTAAACTGTTCAAATTGGCTAGAAGCCGTCGGTTGTAAAAAACTATATTTTTTATTGTTCATAACCTGATATAAGTTTGAGACAAATTGTAAACTCAATAGCATAATCTATGCAAGTGCACGATCATTTTGTTGTGATTAGGCTCTGGAAAACCGTGCTGTATAAAATTGTAAAAAAAATCTGCAAAAGTATTCCTGTTTTATTTTACTATGTTTGTTTTACTGACTTAACAGTGAATAGTTGACGAATAAATCGACAAGTCTGGTGACGTATGTCTTACAAGTATACTGTGTGACGGCAAAAACTATAGACAAGTATACTAAAAAACGATATTAAATCAGATAAGCAAGCGAAATGTCCATTATTTGTTGTTGGATTGAAGAAACGATAAGGAATGGATGTGTGGACTGTGGAATTCTCATTTAACCTAAGGGAGGTAACATGCCACACATTAGCGAGGTGATGTCATGAAAAGTCCTTCAATACAACGAAGCCAATTAAAATTTATCTCGACCAAAATCTTCTTCTTATATATAATATAAAATATAACCAACATGTCAAACAAATATCTTAATAAATTATAATTATTTAATTGAGTTATGTGAAATAATAGTATAAAAAGTATTTCGGTTATTTTTTTGGGTTTTCACCATGTCGTTTTGAAAAAATATAATATAGCGTTTCTCTTGCAGCATAGGTAATATTCCCGCCGTTATTTTGACTAAAACAATAAAAAAAAAAGTAAATAAATGATTTATATAATACTATTGGTTCATTAACAACTGGTTTGTACTCAATTATAAACAGTAGTCGTTAACCGACACCAATAGCGACTATCAGTGAACCAGATTTCTGAAATTTGTACAACACATATTATGATCTCTATAATTTTAATGTTTGTTGTTTAGCAGGATGGTAAAACACTTTTTGTAACGAGTTGCTAACACTGTCTTACACAAAGTCGTTGAAAGTATATTATATCAGACTGGATGTGATTTTATGTACCGGTTAAATCATTAAATGCAGTAAAGAGATTCTCTTAAGTGTGACAACTGAATAGGTTTTCTTACAACTAGAAAGTAAAACGCAATTGCATTACAACATTACAAATCCTCGGTTTCGTTTTGTGTTCACTCCTTCTAAAATTCAAAAAAAAAATCATCAAAACATCTTTTCGTTTTCTGTGATTGAAAACGTTACCAAGCCAAAATTTGCATTATTTGTTATGACTACAAAATAAAATTGTTATTTTAATATTTAACAGTATAATATTCCGAATGTTTATCTGAGTTTAAACTTGTAAAACAAATCGACTAAGAACATTTTAAAGTTAAGTTATGGAACGTGTATAACTTATACGTTTATATCGTTCCAAAAAGCATAACTTAACTTCAAAATGTTCAAAAGTTCTAAGCCAGTTAAGCTATTAAAATTGATGTAGTTATAACACAAATGTAAATATTTTAGGCTTGGTAACGTTTTCATTCCCAAATTTAACTTAACTGCATAGAATTGATTGGCTTTATTATTATAATTATTAGAATAACTAAACAATACTTTTAGCATTGAGTTATTGTGGACAAATTTGTTTTTATAGTTAATGAAGCAATACAGTATTTAAAAAATTATAATGAATATAGTATTTATGGTAATTAACATATTCATCGCCAATATATATTTCTGTGTTTATTTAACAATTTGAAACGTTTTTATTTTTATTTTCATCGCCGTCAACACGATATGTAATTGTGAACCTACCTATTTATAAACGCACGGTAATGAGCTAAAAAAAATGTATGTGTATTTTTTTAACGATCAAATGGTACAACTTATCATTTGGCACGCACGACTGCTAAATACTTAAAAAAGCGTATTGTTGTTTAAACATTCCGTTTAGCCCGTTAAAAAAAAAAAATTAGGCAAGGTCTGCGACAATGACTTTGAACTTGAACGTCAGAGGTAATATATTTATATTTCTCTGGTTCGAACGAAACCACTGTATTTCGACAAACGATTGTTTTATGAACAAGTTAGAAAAAAACAATAATCGAAGCCCGCATTGAATAACGGCAAAATATTGTAAAAAAGTTTGATAAATAATTGTATAATAAAAACAACGGTTTTTATTGCTATGGCAGTTTTGAAACAGTTAAATAAAACATAATTGGAAACAATATTATAATTGTACGAGGTGCATACAAATATTATTTTAACAATATTACTGATAGGTATTAAAAAACTGTACCTACATATTCCTGTTCCGTTCACACGTGTGCGTCAACATTTACCACTGTGTGTAATATAATTTATAAACATTTGCTGTAACAAATAATGTTATGTAGTTACATTAAGACAACCTTAATTCAGGTAACACTCAAAATATGTTACCAGTTACCTTTTTTATATAATATTATGTTCAACCCGGCACCCTAAACGTCTAGTACAAGCATGACTGTATGAAATAAATGTCACTATTCCGATTATTTTCAATATTTACATTGGAAAAGTTAAAAAAATATGAATATGTGTTCATGATAATTGATAATTGATGTTTAATTAAATGTCTTAAACGTGTTAACCGGAAACCCCGGCTGGAAATTTTTTAGATCCGGCCCGGCGATTTAAGCATATTATAGACAAACACAATACAACAATACGGTTTTAATACTTGAAACGACTGGGCGGAAAGTGAAGTTTCGTTGTATTCGTAGCGTGACCGACACTATGTGTATTGTGCATGGCAGACTGACATATTATAATATAGATATTACTGCTATTCATCATAACGCTACAGCGTAACACGTGACTCATTGTAAACTGCGACGGAGACGGTGGTGGAAAATAGGCAAAGGGGAGGGAAGTGTAATTTTCAGCTCCGCATTAACCCGATTCCGGTGGTCATTTCACAAACGCCAATGCCACGAGCGGTCCCGTCACGTCTTAGGTAATTTCAAATTCGTCTCGGTCTCGTCGATCCCTTAAGGCGGGGGTCATGCTTATACACACTATACGATTAACAATGTGTACAACGTGTGATATATTTTCAATTGTCTTTTACAAGTTATGTTAAATTTACACGATAAGAAAATATTTAAAAAGAATACATTTCGTGTAATTTATAAAAGGTGTACCTACTTGTAAGTAGCTTTGGGCCTTTTTTTTTTATATATTTTTTGCCGGTAACAGGATTTTTGCCTATCCTCATCTGTCATATGGGTAAATCGGTGAAATTTATTTGACGTTATTCGGCTTCGGTGCAATATTTTGCAAATGTGTTATAAGCACAATACTTTCGGTCGGTGTGGGCCGTTCGACCCCCCACATTTGTCATGCCATACAATCCAAGTGATGATAATGTAAAACGTCCGCCGACGACCTTCAGGTGACCCCCCGTCGTCTCACCGGATGCATCGGATGTAACGGATATTATAGCCGTGATGATATTATTATTATTATTATATTGTAAGACTGCCGTTTACCCAAAATCCGGCGTTCGTAGATTTTGGGTAAACGGCCAAAATATCATTTGGAACGATTCGAAAATTGCCCGTAGTCGTTTTAAAAATGTTAATATTTCTAAGATAAGAACAAATGGACGGGGTTATGGTTTTTGGTATATTTGTATTCATTATAGAGGACCAAAAATGTCAAAAACTGTGAAACAAACATAATATTATGCCACGACAGACTGTTTTCCAGAGAAACTCTATTCGTGGGTAGATTCGAAAATGATCACACAACTCTATTTATCCTTACTTTGGTGTACATATTAAAAAATAATTATAACTGTCTACGGAGTACAAGTTGTGCTGGCGAGAATAAGGCATGAAAAAGAGAGACAATGAATAAAAAAAACCTCATGCCTATATTGTATGTGTGTATGGAAGTTGAATGAGATTGTCTACAACCTTAGCTCGACAGACTTTGTTTAGGTTTTGTTACCATTACTAAAATATTAGTGTTAGTCGGTCTAATCGGCCATAATGACAACTGTAGTCTGTGAGACATCTGCTGAGTTCACCACAGAAATAACCACGTGCATATTTTGTGAGTTTTTGCAAAAAGTCTTTTGTTCAATGTTTAGCGTCATTATATAAAAATTGTTATTTTTGTTTTAGGTACACATTTATTCAATAACAAATTTTTTAAAAATACTTGTATGATAATTGTTTATAACTAGAAAATAAATAATGTCATATGACGTTATGGCATAAAATACAATATCGCCGAACATAATATAGATAGCGGTCAATACAAACAAATTAATTGTCAATTATTAAAAAAAAGAACTTTGATTTATACGCTTGTTAAAAAACAACCGCCTACGCCACAACCATTGCTACTCTTCTAACAAAGAGAGTACACACATTCATGATATCATTATCAATAAAACTTGCCGGAAGGGCCAGCATTACACATTTTATTTTTTATCCGTGTTCAAACTAAAATAACTATAATGATGGCAAAAAGTAAGATAAATGCGAGTTACAATTTTTTTTAATATAAAAAAATAAAAATATATACTGATTATTTTTGTAATAAAAAAAAA